TCTGAAGATCGAAAGGGAAGAAGGTTGATTCATTATTTAGTAATATTTAATGGACACAATTTCTAACATTTTTGTCATAAAAAGAAATTTATAATTATTAATTCATTTGTCCACTAACTTTTGCACGGACCCTAATGGCACAATTGTTGGTTATGTGTCACGACATGAAGGACTTTTAATATAGTAAAAAAAATTAACACTTACTATAAAACCAAAAACCATATCACAAGTATAAAAAAAACTAACGTGCAGGAAGATAACAATCTAAAATGCTGTTTAAAAATATACGAATCTAACATGCATTCATTGCAGCTGGAAATGATTCATTGTAAATCTAAAACACGTCACTTAGTACTACGGTGTAGCGGTATTCTTCTTTACTTGTAAGTGAGAAATCTGAGATTCGGCTCTCGCAAAAAATGAATTTGAACAGCATTATTGCTAACTTATTTTGAAGCTAAAATATTGCACATTAGTAAACAGCTCCAAACCATTATTTACCACAATTTTATAAATTTTAATTATTGGTGTGCTAGAGGAGGTAAAGACAAAGGAAAAAAACACATACAATGCTTCTGACAAATAACTTTTATAGACACAAAATATTTTTTGTGCCCATCTTCAATAAAAAAAGTTCTCATCTGACCCCACTCAGCACGGTTTCCATGCCCATTACTGTTTTGTGTCTTCTTTTTTTAACATTGGGCACCATAGATGGTGCCCTCTATGGAATGAGACTGTTTAAGCTTTTTGGTTGTCAAACAGACACAAAATTCTCAATTGTACCCTTTGTTTTGTACCCAAAGCTCATTTTTGTTGTAGTGTATGCCGTGCTTCAACTATTGTATTTTATAGTTGGGAATATAATTTACATGTACTTTAATTAATTATGGTTACTAATTAAACAGAGGCTGCCGGAGAGGCGATCCATGGAGATCCGAAGCAGTGGTTCTTTTTCATCCCAAGACAAGAAAGTGAAGCTCGAGGAGGGAGACCGAGACAACTCACAACAACTGGGTATTGGAAAGCAACAGGATCTCCAACCACTGTTTACTCTTCCAATTCCAAACACTATCGTGCCATCAGCCTCAAAAGAACCATGGTTTTCTATACTGGCAGAGCTCCCCATGGAAAGAAAACGGAGTGGAAGATGAATGAAACAAAGCCATTGAAATTCATGCAAATGATAATAATCAACCATCAATGGCCGCCTCCTCACCAAACCCTAGTACTCCTACTCCCACGGTACATACGTAGTAATTAATTTCTTAGCTCAAACTTAACATCGTTTTTTTTTTTAAATTCACATATTCAATTATTTGCAACACAATGATATAGGTTTTTTGACGACATAGTTTGACGAAGATCTACATTTATTGTCCGACGTTTATGTGTTTGTGTATATGTATAATATTTGAGAGATTACAAGTGAATGATTTTGTCCACCAGCTACAAGGCCACACAGTTTTTAAGCGACTTCTTTGATGGCTTACGGCATTGAGTTTTCAGTGCAGTTAATTAGCATCTAAACCAATTTAATTAACAATACTTCATAATTCATATTAATTGTTATGTTGATATCACTGTTCTAACAATCCCCGCCTAGCGCCACCTAGGCCCCGCCTAGGCGCTAGGCCCCAGCCCACCGCCCCGATTAATGCCTAGGCCCCAGCCCACCGCCTAGACCACCTAGGCACCCGCCTAGACCACCTAGGCACCCGCCTAGCCCGCCTAGACCCGCCTAGGTTGCAACTCACTTAGACAGAAAATACATAACTTTCATTTTGCATTTTGTTTTTTTCCAATAAATTGTAAGAGACTTGTTGCATACTTGAATGAACAAACATTATATCCTTATTTCACATGTTTTCATTATGTTCCAAAACTTCATGATATATATGCATTCTATTTTGTAGTTTATGATGAAATTATATATATTTCAAGTAGAAGTAGACACTTATTTACATGAAATATGATAGATTTACTTAAATCCGCCTAGACCGCCTAGGTGCCTGCCTAGGCCCCGCCTAGCCGTCTAGGCGCTAGGCCCCAGCCCGCCGCCCGACTAGCGCCTAGCGACTTTTAGAACCTTTGTTGATATATGTTGGCATGTATGCATGCAGTTAAGGCAAGAATTCAGCTTATGTCGAGTATACAAGAAATCGAAATGCCTTAGGGCATTTGACAGGTGACCTCCAGGGATTGAGATCACAAGAAACCCTAACTTAAACATTCAAGCAGCTCCTGCTCAGACTGCAGATCATCTGGATCAGGGTTTGACAACATCGAATAGGAACCCTCAGAATATGGAAGGGAGAACAAACTCAAGCTCACCGGAGAGTTCATCCTCAGGAGGCCATGGCTCTCAATCCTCTCAACCAGAACAAAGTGGGACTTTGCCAATGGCCGTTGATAATGAAGCTATTTGGGATTTGGATCAATTGATAATTTTTTTGCTTTAAGGGGTGGATAGGAAGAAATACTAAGTAGTACGGTATTACCACGTTATCCAAAATCCTTAAATAGAATGTCTAGCTACTAAGCAAATAAACTAGTGCGCGTGGAATCATAATCACTCGTATGTACTTATGTAGGGTTTAATCGCTCTAAGGTAGAGTTAATTTGTACTGGACTTGGGGAAGAAAAGCCAAATTCAAAGGCTATTGTTCTAGACATGTCCTGATCACAAGCTTAACCTAAGCTTGATCCCTTTTGCTTCCTTTGTAACAAACAATTGGGTTCTTTCATATGTTTGTAAATTTCTTGGACTACTATTCTGTATAACCTTGAAAGTTTGCAGAAGTGATATTAGAATTTATCACCTGTTGTTGTCATTGAAGGCCAATTGATACAAGTAATTCACTATTAACTAATTTATATATCAACTGCACAAAACTGATATTTTTCAATTAAAAGTTTGCTTCAATTTTTTTTTGGTTCGATCATTTTTGCATTTCTATTTTTTCCCATGCATTCCTCCATTTTTTTTCTAACCTTTTAATTGATTAATTTAAAAGAGATTCAAAGGACAAAAACAAGAGGCGCAGTGCAAAGAAAGAGAAAACGAAAGTGTAAAAATCACAACTTCTTTGTCTACTGAGCAATGTGTCAAACTCTTTCAAAATGGTACCATGCAGAATATCCTGCGATTATAAATATATGTATGCTAGATTGACTAGTCAAACTCACCAGTCAACTAAGTACAGATTTGTTAGTTAGGCAAACACAAATCTAGCAACCAAACTTAGTTTACTATAGGTTATCCTAGTCAGTAACTGCTCAGTTTGTTATTCATACTCATGCAACGTAAACTTAAGCACAAACACACATCAAATAACAAGCCATAGAATGCATGTATCATATGCTAATAAATTAGATATGTGGACAAGTTTAGGTAATAAAGAACATAAGAAATTTGACCGGAAAACCCACCTCTAGGTTAAAAAAATGGAGACTCCACGGAGTCTAATCCAATGGTGCAAATAAGATTCATACAAGGTACCACATCAAGCAGCTCATTTCCTAGATCTAATCTACGAAGCGGCTTTACCTTTGTGCAACCTTACTCTGCATGAGATGGAGATATCATCAGTCTTCACAAGAGGGCAACCTTATCCCTTGAGCTCATCTTCTTATGGCACATATTCTATGCATAATGGTGTAATGATGAAGATGATATGTAATGTGGATTCAAATGACAAGTTAGTTTCTCCAATCAAATCAAATGATTGAAGGAAGAAACTAACGTAATAAAAAAAACTAGGCTAAATGAAGATTTGAAACTTCAAGCAAGACCATGAAAACAATACAAACCTATTTCTCAATGATTGGGTGCTTAATGCATGAAGAAAGGTTTGGCAGCTAGGGTTTCATAAATGAGGAAGAGGGGAAGCTCACGGCTTTGAGTGCACTCTAACTCTTAAGTTTTTACAAACTAAACAACCAAAGAACAAATGAGACCTAGCTAGGGTTTTAACAACAAAAAAAACACTTGTTTGTTTTCAGCTAGCAAGGACAAGGACACTTGTCAAGCCATAAAACGATATAAGCATATCAAGGGCTAAAAGCTGGCTCTCAACAAAAAGGTGTCAGTCAGCACAGAATTCACCTTTATAAATATAAGTGGTTCTGCAACATTGAAAAGACCTTCAACTTAAAACACAAACACATTATGCTCAAATCTTTCGCTCTACGCAAATCTCTCATACTCTGAGAAAACATAATTGATGACCAAGTCTTTTTTTTTAACAAAAAAAAAACATAAATGATGATTTTTTACAGCTACACTCCTTGATCCTATATGAATACAATGAATGAGCTCGATCTTCAATTTAAAATATTTACACTTGTGGATACCACAAATTCTTATGTTATACTTAATGAAAGTATAAATAAACTCTAAGTGTTAGTGAATCTATCATTTTCATGGGATACACATTCTACGAAACTAATTTCAACGATCCAACCGTCAAACTTGTTTATATATGTTTCGAGATCGCATACGCCAAAAATTGCAAAAAACAAACATTCAGAGATCATGTAAGGAGACAAAACTTTTTGACGGTTATAAACGAAAATCATGATTTAACGGTTATTTTAACTCCGATTTTGATGATTTTTTACAGCTACACTCCTTGATCCAATATGAATATAATGAATGAGCTCGATCTTCAATTTTAAATATTTACACTTGTGGATACCACAAATTCTTATATTATACTTAATGAAAGTATAAATAAACTCTAAAGGTGCATTTGTTATACATAACAAAAAAAATTCGAATCAGAACCCTCTATTAAAATTAGAAATCAGTATAAGACAAAATTTAAATGCACGAATTGCTAGCCAGTGCTATTTGAATGTACCATGCATGTCACTCACAATTCTAAACTTAAGAAAACACTATTTAACAAATTAAAAGGAGGCGCGCGTGGGATAAAAGGGCAGTATCAACATAGACGCGGGGAGTTAGAAAAAAAATTAAGAATTAGTCTCTCCGTCCCATTCCTTCTCCCTATCCTTCTCCCTCTCCACCTCCATCTCCGTCGCTGCAATTAGACAGACCGACAGCCTCCTTCCGGTGGAAATCAAAACCATCGTCAAAGTCAAATCCTAAAAAAGGTTTTTCCCTCCTAATTGTCATCTTCAATTTACGTTTCTGATGGATAAACCCATCAGTTTTCTGTGTAATTCTCTTAGGGTTTTAATTTTTTTTTTTCGATTCTTTTGCGAGTATATTGTGGGTTCTTCCCCTTCTAATTCTCATCTGCAATTGTTTTACCTTCTGCGGGGTGGGGGATGTGGCTGGGTACTATATATGGATTGGTGGAATCAGGGTTTAATTATTTTCAATTTTTTTACTGGAATATATATATATATATATATATATATATATATATATATATATATATATATATATATATATATATATATATATCTCTCTCTCTCTCTAAATTTGTTCAATTTTCCTATACAGAGGGCGGTTACAAGGCTGGGCTTATATACTGAAGAATCTGATTATATTCTAGGCTAGCTGCTTTCTTTGGTAAGGTATGTTGTTACACCATCACCCTCAGCCTATCTTATTCATTGTTTGATTGTTGGTCCTAATGAATGTTGCATGTAAAATTAAATTTGTAAACATGTAAACAGGGAGTAGATACTTTATATGCCATGGACAGGGAATGGATACGAAATCCGAATCGAGTGAGTAGGGAATATTTAAATGGGATTTCAAAATTTTTTAAAAGTGCAAGCAAACATGTCAACGCTGAGGGTTATACTAAGTGCCCATGCCAGAATTGTAACAACTGTAGATTGAAGTCATTGAGAGAAATTCAACAAGATTTGGGTAGATATGGAATGTCATTCAATTATACTACATGGACTCATCATGGGGAACGATTGAGAACTGTTTCAAGTTGTTCAAACCCACAACCAATGTCGCGACCTATTACTGAAATAGGAAGTGATAATGATCATGTAATGAATGTAATCAACGATCTTCATCCACACACGCATGTTAGTCAAAACAATGCGTTGGAGGAGGATGATAACACAATCAGCAATGATAATGTGGAAGTGGATGAGTCCAGCATGCCTAGAGAAGAACATGAAAAGTTTGAGAGATTATTAAAACAAGCTCAACGAGAATTGTACCCTGGGTGTGAAGGTTTCTCTGTACTAACGGCAATTGTGGAGTTCATGCATGGCAAGGTCATGTTTGGAATGTCCAACACATGCTATGATTATTTCATGGCACTTTTCAAACGGATGCTTCCGAAAGATAATGTTTTGCCTCCATCACATTATGAAGCAGATAAGATTTTGAAAGATTTAGGGTTAGGGTGTGAAAAAATTCATGCCTGCAAGTATGATTGTGTGTTGTTTTACAAAGAAAATAAAGCGTTAGATCAGTGTCCTGTTTGTAATGAGCCTAGGTATCATAAGAGTTCTCCGGACAAGAAGCGAAAGATTCCGAGAAAAGTGCTACGATATTTTCCACTTAAGCCAAGATTGCAACGGCTGTACATGTCAGTGCACACGGCCAATGATATGATGTGGCATAAGGAAAAGAGGGTTGATGATGTCATGCGACATCCCGCTGACGGAACTGCATGGAAAGAGTTTGACAATATATATCCTGACTTTGCAGCAGCCCTCGGAACGTGAGGTTAGGCCTTGCCACGGATGGATTTAATCCATTCAATAATATGAGTAAACCTTATAGTATGTGGCCTGTGGTGGTTGTTCCATATAATTTGCCGCCTTGGAGATGTATGAAAAAAGAATTTTCCATTATGACATTGCTAATCCCAGGTGATAAAGCACCTGGAAGAGAAATCGATGTGTATTTACGATCGTTAATTGATGAGTTGAAAGAATTATGGGAAAATGGTGTGCCGACATATGATAAGGCTACTAATTATGTGTTTAACTTACGTGCGGCATTGATGTGGACAATCAATGATTTTCCAGCTTACGCAAATCTATCGGGATGGGGCACTAAGGGCTATAATGCATGCCCTGTTTGTAATGAGGACGGAACATCAGAAAGGTTCAGCGACAAGATTTGTTACATGGGACATCGACGGTGGCTACCTTGGAATCATGCATGGCGGGATAACAAAGACTCTTTTGATGGGAGAACTGAATATCGTGCTAGACCTCGGGAGTTCTCAGGGGAAGAGATTTTAGCACAAGTTGCTAATTTAAATTTTGGTCGGATGGGTAAACATGACAACAATCCGGACAAGAAAATGAAGAAAACGCCTGAGCATCGAAATTTGTCGAAAAAAAGTGTGTTCTTCGAGTTGGAGTATTGGTCAAAGTTGAAAATCAGGCATAACTTAGATGTGATGCACATCGAGAAGAATGTTTCTGATAGTGTTGTTGGAACAATACTGGACCTAGAAGGAAAATCTAAAGACACGCACAAAGCTCGCAATGATTTGATGAACTTGGGCATAAAAGAAAATTTGTGGTTAGAGTGGGACGGGAGTAAGTGGAATAAAGGTCACCCGTTTTATACCGTGGAACCAAAGTTCCAAAAAGAATTCCTTGAGTTTTTGAAATGGGTAAAGTACCCAGATGGATATGCAGCCAGTATCTCTCGAAATGTGAAAGTCGGTGAGAAAAAGATTTCCAGATTGAAGAGTCATGATTGCCACGTGTTATTGCAGCGACTTATTCCCGTGGGTATTCGAAAATTTTTGCCGGAAAATGTGGTTGAACCGATCATTGAATTATCGAGCTTCTTTCAGCAAATATGTGCCAAAACGTTGTGTATGGTAGACTTGGAAAGGCTGAAAGAAAATATTGTGTACATATTGTGCAAGCTTGAACAAATATTTCCCCCTGCATTCTTTGATGTAATGATTCACGTCATGATCCACTTAGTAGATGAAGCGATACTTGCTGGGCCTGTTAATTTTCGGTGGATGTACCCTATAGAAAGGTAGCAATATTATTCTCCCATTTAATCTCATTGTTCTTATGAAATTGTAAATTTAAATTGTAACACTTTAATTTCTTTGCAGACTATTGGGAAGGTATAAACGCTATGTGCAGAACAAAGCACGTCCTGAGGGATCTATTACAGCGGTATACCTTTCAAATGAATCCCTCACTTTTTGTGGGATGTATCTCCGTAATGTTGAAAGTTCTTTTAATCGACGTGAACGAAATATTGATGGTGGCGTGCAACTAGAGAAGCTTTCTGTATTTGCTCAAATTGCAAAACCGTTTATGGGTAGTTCAAGTGTTGAATTTACTAGTGCTGACATGAAGATAGATGAGTGGTTTATATTCAACAATTGTGACGAGGTGACACCATTCCTTGAGTAGGTGACATATTCTGTATTTACTTTAAGTAGTCTTTTTTCCCCACTCTAATATTTATTTGACTTATTAAGCAGGGAACATGAGGAAATAATAAAGCGTGAAAGTAGTTCAAACGTGGAGCAAAGACACAAAGATAAGTTTCCTTCTTGGTTTCGTGAACATGTAAGTCGAACTTTGTAGTTATTGTAACGTGTTGCATTATTTTAAAATAATTTGTGCATAACATTGTCCATCATATTACTAGATGAGGAGCTTGGGAAAGGAAAAGTCACCTTTATATAATGATGACTTGTTTGAGTTAGCGAGAGGTGCTGTGCGAGCTGAAACATATCAAGGTTGTGTTGTGAATGGGGTTAAGTTTGTAGTTGCCGAACGAGATGATAGATTAATCACTCAGAATAGTGGGGTGTATGTGCCTGGAGATGTCGATACTGGAGAACTAGAATTTTATGGAAAGTTGACTAGTGTCATTGAATTGTTATATAGACAGGGGTATAAAGTGGTGTTATTTAAGTGCCACTGGTTCAATACAGACCCTTCTAGACGAGGGAGTATAAAGCGCGACTACCACTTAATATCAGTCAACACAAACATTCGTTGGTATGATAATGATCCTTATATTCTTGCCACTCAAGCGAAGCAAGTGTTTTATGTGGCTGATCCTAAGGCAGGTACTGGTTGGAAAGTAATTCAAAGAATTCAACATAGAAATGTATGGGATATTCTGGAAAAGGGGAACTCTGAGGGTGATAATAGTGATGATGATGTGACATACCAAGAGAACTCTTCATCAGACATTCCTGATATGGCACAAGTACAACACATTGATGAAACTCTGACTTCGTACTGCTTGGAAAATGTTCATCCAGTTGCAGTTGAGATTGACTCCATCATTATAGATCTTGGGGCTCTTCCTAGAATTGATGAAAATGAATTCATTTACAATTATAATGAAGAAAGTAGTATAGATACTGATGACTACATAAGCAATGAGGAAAATAGTAGTCATGGTGATGATAGTTCAAGCAGTACTATTGATGACGATAGTGATCTAGATTATTAGTAAGTCAGTATTTAGTTTGCTCATTGTGTTTTTGTCTAAATAATTTCGTCATTTTGTATATGCATTTTCCTTACCACATTAATTTGCTAACTTGTTTGTTTGTTTTTGTATCCGTTTTCCATGTTTTTATTGGAAAATGAAATAATTGTATTTTCTTTGATTGAATCGCATATATGGATGAAAAACATGTTCTTAATTGAACTATTTCATTTGGGTTCGAGTTTTATGATCTAGGTTTCCAATTTTTGGTTGATTTGGCCATCCATTTGTATAATATTGTTGAAAACAATGTCCTTTGACTTTAATTCCAGATTTCCACTGTAATTTTTCGATATTGTGGTCTAGGTTTGACATATTTGTTTTTCCTTTCTATAACACTTGCAGGTTGTCTATGGCTCAGTGGAATTCTGGGCTAGATGGCTTACAACTGGTATCAACACGACATGGAGACCAATGTGAGGATCATTCACACCAGGTAATTTTGATATTTGAGGATTAACTTGATTAGTAGATGTCTATATCTTCTTGTTTACACTGATAAAGATTATAAACAATGATGAATTAGAATGCTTTAAGTATAGTTTATTTATGTTTCCAGGTGCATATGCTTATGTTCTACAGTTATAACCTACTTAGCTAGGTGATTGGTATTGTTATGTTTATATAACTTATAGACCTTTCAAGGATTTATATGATCTACTTATCATGCTGCCTTGTTTACAGAGTGTGATAATCATGTTGCCGTGCTGTTTATAATGTTTATCTTGTTGTTTACAGTGATGAATGACATATAAGTAGTTGATGCTAACTTGATTATTACATGGTATCTATTAAACATGTAATTTTGCTAGGTTGTGATGCTGCATGGCGTTGGTAAGTTAACTTGATTAGTAGATATCTTTATCTTGTTGTTTACACATTTATGGTTTCATAAGTTATTTGTTTAGAAATACCACTCTAGTGTGGCCTTGCGTTCCTTAATGTCAATGATATTTAGCACCCTTAACGTTTGCTAATCAAGTTTTTTAATTTGTTTTTCTTCTACAGTTGTTTGATACTGGAATGTTTCATGATGATCCTTATCGTTTCCCGATTTCATGATGCTGCATATCAACTTGATGAGGACTATAGTGAGAATGGTGATACTTAAGGATATTTTATCTATATTATAGTAATCTCGAAATGAAAACATAGATATTTTTGGATTTTGTAACTACACCGAATTGTGAACCTTACATTAGTTTATATTACATGAATTTTGTGTTGTTCCTACATTAATTCTTGATTCACGCCCCTTCTCGATCTCTTAAGCTTGCTTGTTTGTGATGGTTAAAAATATTATTAAAAATTAGAAAATATTGGACTTGACATGTTTTGTCGGCACAAAATTAATTAGCCGACAAATGTTTTTGTTCACAAAAGATTCAACCAACTAATTATTTTGTCTACACAAGTAATTTGAGCCGACAAACCAATTTGTTGTCATAGGACTACGTAGCCGAAAAACCATTTTGTCACGACAAGATTACTTAGCCGCCAAAATGTTTTGTCGCGACAAGATTACTCAGCCGACAAAATATTTTGTCGCGACAAGATCACTAAGCCAACAAATAACTTCATCGCGAAAAAACAACCTATGCTGACAAAATATTTTGTCGCAATGTTGTTTTGGTGACGGGCATAATTTGACGGCTGAGATTTGTCGCCTTAAAAATGAGCCGACGAAATATCAAGATTTGTCGAGAAAGATCTTGCGTGACATGCTTTTAGCGACAAAATTGCCGACAAAATTTTTCGTTGGGAAAGGCTCTTTGCCGACGAATTTTGACTTTTGCCGACAAACTATTTTTGTCGGCAAAGTGGAAATTTCTAGTAGTGGTAGTATTATCGACACACTCATTTTTACTTTTCACGCAAATATTTAATTTTTTATCTTCAGATCGAATGAGTTCAAGAAGATTAATGATAAAAAAATTAATAAGGACGTGCAGAAAGTAAAAATGTGAATGTAGCACTATTAACAGAAATGAATGCATGCATTATCCTATATGAATTTTCCAGGGTTGGGAATGTTGATATTTGACGTCAGGGCGTTCACATAACTTGAATTTCTATATTTTTAAATATCAATATGTTATTGACATGTTTGGATGACTGGGTCATTTGACACATAAAATAAGCTAGTCCCTCAAGGGAGAGTATGTAATAATTCAAAACTGATAAATAATAATAATAAGTGGGTTTTATAATGTCATATATTGTGTGATACAGTAAAAATGCAATTCTAAATTATACAATTGAAATTAAACAAATTTTTATACAGTTGAAATCAAACCAATTTTCTAACTTTATAGCTCGTTCGTAATTTCCTATGCATATAATAAATATAAAAAACTAAAAAATTATAATCACAATTATACACCATTTTATGTGGCTTGTCACGTTATATATCATTGCTTCACTTATGAATTCATGTGAGGTCGTTATATATTAAACTTAATCTGCCTAGCTAGCCACATTTTTAATATTAGGCAGAAATATACATCTTCACGTATTTGCATGTCATGACTAAACTTTTGTTGCCCAAGTCGGGTGAGGAAGGAGTGGGGACCTGATGTCGCCACTCGCCACTGTAGGGAAAGCAGCCCTTCGTTTCTTTTATCAGTTTGGTAGGGAAAGCGGGCAGCCCTACGTATCTTTTGCCAATTCGAAGCTTCGTATCTTCCAAACATTTCTATATGCGCGTTTCTTTATTTTCTTCCGCGGTCAAATTTTGAAAAGCTTCTGTGTTGTTGCGGTTTTAATTTTTCTTTTTTATGAGACTTCGATTGTTTGAATGACTGAAAGACAATATTGGAGAAACATACTAACGAAGGGTTAGTTCGGTTGTTTAACACAGAGGAATGAAAAATGATGGATTCCACATTGGGTATATAACAACGTAACATACAATTAATACATGAAAGATTTTACTCCTAATAATATCGAGACATTTTGTGATACAAACCTAACACTTGGTAATAGGTGGTTAAATTAGAAAAATACCGATAATATTAGTGATGAATCATGCTAGACCTAAAAATTTATCAAGAAATTGGGAGAAGTGAGTGTGTGTTTTCTTTCTCATTAACTGAATTATATAGAATTAGAGTTACTTGGAGACTCGGAGACTAATATTTACAAATTAACGTAAAGAATCAAGGAAGAAGTTACAGTACTAGTAAAACCATGTCATGCATGGACTATTGGACGGTTAAGTTTTGTCCATGTTCTGAAGGGTGGCAGATTGTGTGCCCACCTGTTAGTTATGATATCCTTCTCATCTCCTCCTATTTATACTATCATGATTAAACTACATCAACATTTTATATTCTTATTGCTTTTTGTCTTATTATTTTTATAAAAAAAATTTAATATAAAATATTGACATGATTTAAGGGAACTTTAACGAAAAGCACCCGGTACTGTTCACTTTAACGAAAAACCACATTTTTACACTAAAAAGTCAATCCTTGTACTATTCATTTTACCCTTTATTTTGTCCTTATCATTAAAATTCAAAGTTTTCAAGCCCTTTTTATTAATTTTCCTATGATTTAATCGTAATTGCACAAATAAAAAGAAATGAGAATGACATCATACCATAAGGGCAGATAATCTGCCTCTGTTCTGAAGACATTTCAGCGAGGTCTCCAGGAAACAGTAAAGTTTTGTCTCATTGCGCGTGAAATCCCATGATTGTCACTGTAGTCTGCAACCCTAAACGGTTTTGACTAATTGACTTTAGTCTTCCTCAGAAACCAAACAGACTTTTATATAATCTCTCTAACCTTCTTTTACGATTGAAAATTCAAACTCAGATTCGATCAAATATTTGGGGGGCCATGAGTCAATTGGTATTATCTTAAGGGACTTGGATTCTCTGCCCTCCCATTTAGGTATCATTTCCGTGCCCTCCTGTTTTGTGTGGTCACGGTTAAGCCACGTCAATATTTTATATTATTTTTTTATAAAAATAATAAAACAAAAATAAATAGTAATATAAAATGTTTACGTGGCTTAACCGTGACCACAAAAACAGGAGGGCACGAGAAGGGCACAGAAATTGGAGGGCAGAGAATCCAAGTCCTATCTTAAGCATGCGCCCGAATCTTTGCGACAGATTTGTAATGTCGGTGTGGGAATAGTGGTTTACTCACTGTTTGTTTAATTGCCTTCAAATCAAGATAGTTTATGTCATCGAATAAAATATGGTCATGTTGCACTCATTAGAATGAGCGGTTTACTCATTATGTTTGTTTAATTGTCTTCAAATTAAGATATGTATATGTGTTTGGGCCCAAAATACTAGTTTGGGCCGAACTTAGAATTGTTTTCGGCCCGGAAGCATTCCTCAGAGGTCGGTCGTGTCCTATCAGAATGGGTAGTTGAATCTTGATACAATAAGGAGTCTTTGCAGGATGAGGATGCTGAAACTTGGGAATAAATAAGGCCTGATAAGGGGATGAGTTCAAAGTCCTAATAGGAGTAGGATTGGTCGAGATAAGATTGGATCGGGGTAAGGAGTCCTAATCTGAGTATAGTTTTGATTTGATCAGAAACAGGTTTGCTATTATAAATAGAGGGAGGAGTGTATCATTTAAACCTTCTCCAATTCAATACACAAACTGCCCTGCGCAAATTCTCGCTCTACGCGAAACCTCTCAACAACCTTGAGATTTTTATTTTATTTTTCGCCGACACATCTTCAGTTTAGATAAACAACACTATGAAGGCAATCAGAAAACATCTTCAGTTTGGATAAACAGCACTGCGTCGAGGCTGACTGGTTATCTATCCAAGTCCCGGTCGAGAAAGACTTTCGGGTCTTTATTGGCAGAGTTCATCTCATCAGCCTTTTTGGCGAGGTGAGGTGTTACAGTTTACCAGGGCTCGGCACATTGAATGCCGAGTTGTTTTATGATTGGATACTCACAAGTACATTTTAGAGTTCGGCACGC